AGCGCACACTTCACAGGCTCTCTCTGTCCTCTGGCACGCTCACTCCAGACCTGTCGCCATCCCTCATAGCATTTTTAAATGACCATGTCATTCTTCTACTTAAACCTTCCAATGGTTCCCCATTTCATCTCGTAGCATTTTTAAATGACCATGTCATTCTTCTACTTAAACCTTCCAATGGTTCCCCATTTCATCCAGAGAAAAGCAGTCTTCTTACAACGGCCCACAGGGTCCTATGTGATCTGGTCCCCCATTACCTCCTAATCTTATCTCTTACTATTTCCTCTTTTGCACTTTCCATTCTAACATTGGCCTTCTTGCTATTACAGCAAATAGGCCAGACATGTTCTTGCCTTAGAAAGGTTCCTTGCACTTTACTGGTCCCTCTGCCTGAAACACTCTCTTCTCAGATTTCCACATGGTTCACTTCCTCACCACCTTCAAACTTTTCTTCAGATGTCTCCTTCTCATTAAGGCCTACTCTGACCACCTTATTTGAAACTGCCATCCTCCCCCTCCAATACTTCTCCTTCTTCACCTGTTTGATTAGACCCCGTAGCATTTACTAACATACTATATTACCTACTAATTTATTATGTTTAATGTCTGTGGTAGACATAAAAATGGCCCGTCCACGGATATATTCACTTCCTATTCCCCAGAACCTGTGAATATTAACTATGTGGCAGCATATATGATATAAAGTTAAGAATTTTGGGAGAATGAGCTTACCCTGGATTAACTAAGTGAATCCTAAATGCCATTACATGTAACCTTATAAGAGGGATGAAGAGGGATATTTGATGCAGATAAACAGAGAAGGTGATACAAAGACAGAGGGAGAGACTGGAGTGATGCAGTCACAAGCCCAGGAATACCGGGGCAGCCACCAGAAGCTGGAAGAGGAAAAGAACAATCTCCTAGAGCTCCCAGAGTGAGCATGTCCCTGCAAACACCTTGATATCAACACACTTCTGGCCTCCAGAACTCTGAGAGAATAACTTTCTATTGTTTCAAGCCACCAAATTTGTGTTAATTTGTTACACAAATTTGTTGCCAAAGAAAACTAATACAAGGTCTGTCTCATTCAAACAGAAATGTAATTTCTACAGGGCAGAGATTTTGAGGGTTTTTTGTTCACTGTAATTTTCTTAGCACTTGAAATAGTGCCTGCCGTATGGCAGACACTTGATACATATTTGTTCAATGAGAGAATAAATGAAAACATCCTCAAACAGTACCATCTAATTACAAAGAGTCAATATCATTCTTTTATTCAAACAAAACAATTACTGTTTCTATGGGTACACATATTATATAATAGAAAAGCACAAGAAAACCCTAAAAAGTTATATACAAAACTCTTAAAAGAAGGGACACAGGATAGAATTGGGACGTTTTTGTAAAAAGATATATTCATGTAGTAATTATACAGTTAAAAACCAATCAATATTTTAAATTTTAAATTTTAAATTTTTTTATTTTTCAAAAAGAAATCACTCCATTCTTATAGATGCACTTTTAATAACACATTCTATCCTTCCTATAAATAGTTTACTACAATCTTAAAATAATTTTAAATGTATTCTATTTGTATGAGATATTTATATTAGACCATCAAGAAAGTGGAAAACCCAGGGCACTCCTGAATCTGAATTAGGTAACTAAGATTTGGCAAATGTAAGTGTGTCACATAAATACTAAAAAAGTACTAGGACACCCTCTCCACACTAAATGTTATACCATATTCTTAGAGGCCTAGGAAAAACTTTCAGAAAGAAAAACTAAAACCCACAGAAAACAAAATAATTTGCAGACTTGAATGACTTATACATAAATGAAAAAATGAAGAAAAAATATTTCCAACATAAAAAGAACATCTTTCTGCTAAGGAAAGTAACTGACTAAAACCCACAGAAAACAAAATAATTTGCAGACTTGAATGACTTATACATAAATGAAAAAAATGAAGAAAAAATATTTCCAACATAAAAAGAACATCTTTCTGCTAAGGAAAGTAACTTTACCTGCAGCATGTAGTTGATCTGCCAAGTCATATAATAACTTAAAGTTCTCTCCACTCTTCAAACCCCGACCTCATTAAAAAAGATGAAAAAAAAAAAAACTAAATTAAGCAAACATAAACTCCATTCTATAAAAATTTTATTTTGTATATCTGAGTAAATTTTCATACTTATACAACTGCCATATTAAGCACACCACTTCCTCTATAAAACCTTTTCTGACTTCTCTTATGGTACACCCATACCTCTCCTACAAAGCATTCAACACTATTGTAATTAATTACTAGTTAACTAATGGTATAATTTATTTTTAATATCAGTTTTTCTCCACTAGAATGAAAATTCTTTAATTGCAGGATCCATATCTATTTTGGTCACTGCTATATCTGCAGTATTTAAGAAATCTCTACACATAATAGATGCTCAATAAATATTCTCTGAATGTCTGAAGTTATTATTTGAATGGAAATCATCCAACTAGACTAAACTCCCTGAGAGCAAGAACATTCTGCCTTTTCATCTTTGTTTCTCCAGCACTTTGCAAGAGTCCTGTCATAGAACGGATACCCAATAAACATTTTTGAATAAATAAGTGAATTAACAAGTCAGATATATCTTTTCAAAACATTAAATTATTCTCAATGTCCCATGCAATAGAAAGCTGTTTGGAAGCTTAATTACTTTGTTTGATATTTAATTTGGAAAGATATTAAAATCGTAGCAGTTTGTATTTTTGAAAAAGCCAGCAGGCTATAAAAAGTCATTTTATTTTATTTTTTAAATAAGAAGAATGATATACAAAAAAGAAGCAAGTCTTGGGCAATGTTAAACAGCTTTGATATTAAATGTGAAGAAACTTTCACAGAGTTATTCAGAGACCTGGACAACCCCAGAAGTCTTTCAAAGTAGAATAAAGGGTGGGAATTATACACAAAATAGGCCTGAAACTGCAACCAGTACTTTCTATAATTCAGAAGCCAACCATACTCTGCAGAATAACATGAAAGTCCATCAACAAGACAAAGATAACAAGGGTCAAAGCTATAGAGATGATATTTGTACCATGCTCCCCCTGGTGCCAGTGACACAGATGTGCGACAACAGCCCAAATTGTGTATTATGCTCATAATTTCATTTTTCTAATTGGAAAAATGGGAACAATTCTTATAGCTTACCAACTTCTTATATTTGAAATCTGTGCTCCTCTAAAATACTAAAAAACAAAACAAAAAAATAAAGTTTTATAAGTTTACATCACCTTTTAAAATTAATATTCCACTTACCACCAGATACCACCACTTTGGCACCGGTTAGCTCTGGTCGATCACTTTTTGTTAATTTCTGGTCAAGCCACTCTGATATTCCTACTGGTGAGGTACTTGATGCTGCATACATCGATATATATAACAAAATAATTAATACGATTTCTAGTTCTATAATGATTTTTAAGAGAAACACACAAATACACAATTCCAAGAAATTTAAGTTTGTTAATTACTGTTAACTTTCTGTGCTCCTAATTTCATTCTCTTTGATTATGGAAAGACTTAAGGGGACTAAGTTCCAGCCTTTGTCTCATTAGCTGTATGACTTTTAAAAAGTCATTTATTCTGAGTCTGTCTGTAAAACTGGAATAACCCTCTCTCTATGGGGTTCAAATAAGACACTGTATATGTTTTAGTATAACACCCTCTATACATCTACTACCATCACATTCTCATATTACACTGAATCACTTAAGTCGTGCAATAGGAAACAGTGATGAGAGTAAAAAACTTTAATATAATAGATTAATCTTAATGGATCCTTTCTCTCCCACTCCCTTGATCTAGCAAAGCAACTATCCTAGTACCAAACATTATGTGAAAAAGACATGTTATATCTCTTCTGGTTAAGATGGCAGAATAGACAGTCCTCAGTGCCATTCTCTCCCATAAATCAACCAATTTACAACTATATAAAAAAGCAACGACAGTGAAGCTGGGCCACTAGAGCTCAGGGGAAGAGGAGGGAGAGACCTACGGAGTACATGAAGGTGGGAGAAGTCATGATGAGAGAGAGAAAAAACAGCTCTGACTGTTTTGTGCTGCAGCCGCTTTAAGGCTGGAGCTGCTGAGTGCACAGACCAGGAGCTAGCAAAAAGCCACAGCTCTGCCCTTCGGATGGAGTTGCTTGGAGGTGGCAGAGAAGAAGAGGACCTTGGTGGCCCCCAGGCCAGCAGTACCACCAACAGGGTTCCCGTGGACCCACATAGGACCGACGAGCCACAACAACTGAAAAAAAGGAGCCACTCAGAGGCCAGTGAGTCATTGCAAGGGACCAGAGTATGGCCCGTCCCATGGGAACTGTTTGCAGCATGGGTGATGGGGGAGACAGGCCCACTGGGGGAACACTGGATCACAGCAAGGACAGCTGATCTGCTTTCCAATCAGCGTAGGACCACTCAGAGGAGACTGGTCAAGAATATAGAATGGCAAGGAGTGCAGTTTGATGAAAAGACTCAGCCCAGACCAGTGTTTCTATACAACCCAGGTGCAACAGATTTCACCAGATCCAAAAGTACCTATAAAGTCAACCGTTAAAACTTGAGCTACACAAAAATCCCCCTAGGGAATCAGCAGCAAAGCAGCAATTTAGCTCAACCACAAATCTCAAGTACTGGTCCCCACAGGAAGTCCCCCATTTTAGAAGTAAGCAAAGGACAGCAAATTAGTTCCAGTGCAGAGTTTAAGTGGTGGGAACAGCAAATAATCCAACACGGAACCGAAAGAAAAAACAAAGTACCTACAACCAGAGACAAAGTTTGATAACTAGTAAAGGTCTCATTTCACCAAAGAACACCTATAACACCTAGAAGGATCAGAAGTCCCGTGGGCTACCAAGACAGGAAGTGGGGAGGGCCGGGTCCTCAGCCACATCCCCAACACCTGCAACCTGTCTCAAGGATGGGGGCCTTGGGCCTCAGCCACACACACCCCCCCCCCACAAGTGCAACCACTCCAGTGACGACCACCAAGCTGCCAAAGGAAATGCCCCGGGCTCTCCTGAGCCGGGGTGGCTGGGGCTGAGGGCCTTGTCCACGCCCTCCCTGCACGAGCAACCAGCCCAGCATTGACCACTGAGCTGCCACAGGAGGTGCCCTGGGCTCTCCCAGCTGGGGCAGTGGAAGGGGCGAGGGCCTCGACCACGGCCCCCACACCCTCAGCCAGCCCAGTGATGACCAGCAAGCCTCAGCAAGAAGGGCCCTGGGTTCCTGAATGGGGGGTGGTGGGAGGCAAGGGCTATTGCCACACCCCCTTGGCATCTGCGCCCAGCCCGGCAATAACCAAGCCCTGCTGGAAGCCCACCGGTCTCCCTTGTGGGAATGTGGGGGGTGCCACAGGCCTCAATCCAACTCCTCCTCCTTCCTCCTCCTTCCATCCCATTCCCCTCCCCTTTCTCCTCTTCCTCTCCCTCCCAATTGCTCCACAACAACATCGTAGAATGTAAAAAATAATATTAATACAATTTTCTTAAAAAAGAGATGTTATAAATATTTCTTATTTTTGTGTAAGCTTGGTAATACCATTTATACTGAACTTTCAATTACTCTGCATTAGAAATTTAACCAGAGTTTATCTCTTATTCTAATTCAATCTATGAACTAAAAAAACAGGAAACAAAAACAAACAAACAAAAAAACTCTAAATGGATACTTACCATTTTCTAAACTGGCACTACCTCCACTTGTTGCCGCAGCTTCAAAAGATGTTCCTCGGACAGAAAACACCTTCACTTTCTCATCACACTTCACTGTACATAAAGCATTTCCTAAAACACACCATTTATTTTTAAAAAGCAACAACAAAAGGCAACAAAATGAGTATTCCTTTGAGGCTCAGAATTTAATTCATAGGCAATGCAAAACCTAACTGTGGACTAGTTCTTTTCTACCTCTACTAAGTAAGTATAGGGAAAAGAGGACCATAACAGGGAAGAAAAACATCAGTGGATATTTGCATAACCCTGGATGGCTCTAAAAATAGGACAGGTGCTGACAAGCCTGGAAGCAAGAAACTAGAAGCAGCCACACTAAGAACATACTGTCTCCCTAAAATGAATAAGAACAAAAATGAAACAATCAGTAACTGAAAATATGAGCTGTAACAACTTAATAATAATGTAGCTACTGTGCCTGCTAAAGGAGGAATATATGTGAAAACATGATAGGGCATAAACAACTGGAGTCGTGCCAAGATTTTAAAAGGACTTGAGACATTTCTTATGGATTAGCAATCACATTAAGAGTAACCTTGACTTGGGCCGGCCCGGTGGCGCACTGGATAGTGCGCCGCTTGGGAAGCGCGGCGGCGCTCCCGCCCGAGGGTTCGGATCACACGCACCCAAAAAAAGCTAGTAGGGAAACTTGCCAGAATTTTAACCATGACTAACCAAATATTTCCCCTCAAACATTACTGAAGATGAAAGGTCTGATTTGAGAATTGACCACTTACATTGAAACACACAACTTTAATAAGAAAGAACAAAGAGTACACTGCCTTCCCCATCCCCACTAGAGGCCAGTGTGCTTAGCAAAAGATCAATCAACTAAAGAGACAGTGAAATGAATTTCTTAATGCAAATAAAGTGGAGTAGGAGAAGCAATGAAGATTGAGAATACTATTTAAAAAAATTTTTTTTTTTCCTTTTTTAGGTGCCACTTACAAAATACATTGAATAGTGAATCTAATTTTTTTGGCCACTGGAAAATTCTCTCTCAGCAAACTGAATAACCAGGCAAGAAAGCATTGTGCTCAGGATCTATCAGAGAGAATGCCATGTCATGGTCCAGCAGCAATTTTAGACAAAGATTTTCCTCAGAAACCTTTAAGATGGTCCATTTAAAGCAACTGGATGGCTTAAAATCCTATCTTCAGAAGATTAATTTCTGTTTTTAACTAAAATTTAACATGTTGTTAATTACCTTCTTTAGGTACTCACCTGCATAAATAGTTCTCACAAATGTGTCAGGTGACTTGATCTCAATGATGTCAGAAATTGGGGCGACATCAAGTTTGGCTGCTATTCTGGGCAAAAGGTTCTAAAAGCAAAAGAAGCAGTGAGTTACACACATATTGATGGATATCTATAAACTATCAGCAATGCCGTCTTCTTAAATGTATATTCTGTAGAAACATTAATTCAAATATTTTGCATTTCACATACATATTCAGACATCTAACAACTTCAAGCACAGCTTTTTAGATAGCTTTTGAAATTAAGTGAGTGCCTACCATAATTACTCTAACTACATTAAGAGTTTTATGAGTTTTATAGTAATAAGCCACTTTAATTCACTATGTTAAATTATGAGATACGATATTTGTCTTAATAAACATCAATTACAAGGTGTGACAGTTATAGATTACTGAATTTAGATAAAAAAGATAGAAAAAAATTAGAAGAGTAGTAAATTCTCAAATACCGAAAAAGATTATAATTGTATATATTAATGTATTTGAAAGAAAAAATTACAAAGCAGACATTGCACTTTTTATTTAAATTGATGCTGCATGGGCCGGCCCGGTGGCGCACTGGAGAGTGTGCCGCTTGGGAGTGCAGCGGCGCTCCCGCCGAGGGTTCAGATCCCATGTGGAGATAGGTTCCTGCTCACTGGCTGAGCGTGGTGCAGGCGCAACACTGAGGGTTGCAATCCCATTGCCGGACCCCGGTACGGGCGCGACACCGAGGGTTGCAATCCCGTTACCGGTCAGTAAAAAAAAGACAAAAAGGAAGAAAAAAAAAAAATTGATGCTGCATTAAAAAAAGATCAAAACTAACCTAAAGAACAGTCTGTGTAGTATGTATAAAAAGAGCAGCAAAAATAGATGTATATGCTTTTACTTGCATATGCATATAACATCTCTGGAATAAACACGAGAACACGGTACTAACTTTGTTCTCACTAGCAGGTAACCTTGAGAAAGTCACAATTTTCCCAGGTCTCAGTTATTTCATCTCACAATGAGGGGAAGAGAATCTCCATACTTATAATCTACAGTTCTATGACTCTAGGGGTCTAAAACAGAGGACAATCAGTTAATAAAGACTGAATATCCATACTTTCCAGACTCAAAGTTCTTTTAGATAATGTAAGTGCAATCAAAAAAGTGAAGTGTTGCTTTTTATTACACAAATAAAAAAGCTGAATTCTACACTTTCTACACATAGCTTACTCCATGGCACCTCCTGAACTTGGTATAGGATAGTGCCTCTAGTGGACATATTCTCAATATAACATTATTCAAGTTCTCCCCATTCCAACCCTCTCTGTTCTCTAAGAATTCTCCCAGTATTATTCTATAATCACTTCTTTATTCTGCATCCTCCCACCTGCACATACAATTACACTGTTAACTGGCACTAACATGTATTTTGTTTTAAAATTATTTTTATTATTCATACTATGTGATCCTCAACTAGATTTATAAGCATCCCAAAGACAAAGGTTTTGTTTCTTCTATTTCTCCTGTGTCCCTACTCCTTATCTAATAAGTGGTCCTATATATATTGATGCTGACAAGTGTTGAACACAGAGTCAATTTCCCTTCTGCCATATTTCCAACAGGAAAGGCTTTCTAATTTTCATTTTATCATTACCTACATCACATAGTAATCTTCTTTCAACCATGATTAAAAAGCTACTAAAAAGTACCACTGCTAAGCCACAACTAGAAAAAATTAAGATCCCACAGTAAGTAGAAAGTTTGGGAAAACAATTAAAATGCCTTTAAATATCATTCTAACTTGATAAATAAGTGGTTAAGAAGACACCTACTTTTAAAACAAAACAGAATTGTCAATATTTAAAGCTTGCTTCAGTAAGAAACCCTTTTCCTGAAACACCTTCTTCAACTTTTCAGGAATTACTACTGAAATATTATTATCTGGCTGAGCAGATTCTCTTACAAATTTTAGTCATGCGTACTATGCCTCTTTTTAAAGTTTTAGAACTTTCTAAATTGCTTGAAATTTAATGTCTTCTGTACTTTCAGTATCCCTTGTTTTATTTTACATATCATAAAAAACATTCACCATGATGCTTAAAGGCATGTTTTACTGGGTCTGGTCTTCCATCCACACGTCTTGAGAAGATGGATGGTACACAGATATTTAGGTCTTTAAAAGGATATGCTGTCCAATAGGTTTGACCACACAGGAAAGAGATGCAATAACTACTGCTGTGTTCTTCTCATCCACAAAAAAATGATATATTTTAAAATTCTGGCACACCAGTATAAAAGTGTGTTACCTCAAAATCACAGTTGCTGAAGAAAGGTTTTAGAGCAAACTGTTTAGCTTCTTTTCATAGATACTTTCTCATTCCTAATCTATTCCCAGGCTGCAGCACCAGCTATTATGTTACCTTTATTCTCAAAACTCCCACCTTGTCACAACATAGCAATCAAGGCCAGAGTACTAAAATCTAGCTAATAAGATAACAAACACTCTTTCTTGGTCTAACAATCTTTTAGGTGCACTGTCACCACAGAAACTCAAGACTCACGAAACTGTTTAAATTATCCAACATAGAATCAAAACTCTCAGAGATGGAATGGTACACAAAGATCTTTTTATGCATTGGATTAGGGGAAAAAATGTAAAAATGTGTAATACCAAGTGTTGGCAATTTAGCAACATATATAAAAAATTTTTAAGCACAAAGCCATATTGACCCAGCCTTTTCACTAAATAAATACCATCACATATATACAAAGATGTATGTACAGGGATGTTTCCTCACAGCAAAGTTTATAAATGCAAAAAACTAGAAACAACCTATCCTTGGCTAAATATGAAATATTATGCAGCCATAAGAAAAGAAAAAAGACACCTAGGGCTGGCCAGTTAGCTCAGTTGGTTAGATCACAGCATTATAACACCAAGGTCACAGGTTTGGATCCCCATACCAGCCAGCCATTAAAAAAAAAAAAAAAGACATCCACATTATGAGTTAATATTTTCAAGACATACTCTTAAGCAAAAACCACTAATCACAAGACAATTCATGCCAATTCATTTTAGAAGTAAAATATGTATATATATTTGAACATGCATTATATTTTTAAAATCCATATAAAGAGATCTAAAAGAATGTACAATTGTTAACAGCTGTACCCTTGAAGAGGGAAGGGTGAATTGGGAATAAGCAGGTAGACTCTGATACCTTGCTCTGCACACCGCTGTACTGTATGCATCCTTTCTAACCAGAATGTATCTGTGTACAACTTATTTTGTAATTTTTTAAAGTACAAATAAAGACTAAAAACTACAGCTTATTAAGGATGGAATAAAAGAAAAGGAAGCTAGGATAATACTCATGGCCGCAGAGACAGCCAGAAAGATACACTGAGAAATTCCTTGTCTTGGGCTCCCTCTGCATTCCCTCCCTTTTTATTTATTTATTTTTAACTCCATACAGACTACTCCCTATCTAATAGCACATTCTCTCTTCCGACAGATCACTAATCACAGGATCCGATTTCAGCTTTCTTTACCCAAAGGATATCTTCAACCACCACTCTGCCCTTCCCAAATCCCCCAAGGATATAGAATTTGGCCTTTCTAAATATCCATCAGCCACCCAAATAAATCATCTCTTAAGATGAGTTACTAATACAAATGACATACAGACACACACACACAAAATTCAACATTGTTTTTAAACAAAGATCATTTTAAAACAATAGCCTAAATAGTTTTCTCCAGGACAGAATTTGAAAACCTGGAAATGGAGTTTTAACAAAAATTATGACAAAATCTTGAAAGAATAAATTTTAGCAAAATTACCACATTAATTCATATAAATCAGGATTGGCTAGCTAAACAAAGTCTATTTCAGCAAAACGAAATAGTGACATCAGATTCCATATTCTCAATCTTCTCACCTTTCCAAAGGCAGATGCTCCAGCACAGATGTGTGTGTAATTGAACTGCTTCTGAGTTGCCAAAATCAATGGTGTCAGTTCCTCTGAGAATTGAACACATTTGATAAAACACATTTCATGATATTTTCATATTCATATATTCAAGCATTATTTAGACACTACATTTTTTTCCACTAGAAAACCTCACCTGGAAGGAGGCCTTTGTATGCATCATGCTGAGCCACCAGAACTTTTGCTACACCTGCTACTTTACAGAGATCTTGTGCCACCTGTGATTAAAAGATAAGTTTCTAATTATCCATCTATCAGAAGTATACAAATATAGCCACTACTACAAATATCAACAGAGCATAAAATCTTAATGGTCAACTGTAAAAATCATTCTTATTAGCAAAAGGGCTACTTAGGAAAAAAAATAGATTCTTCAACAAGAAGAAAATCTTATGCCAATTGATCTTACTACCAATTGACCTTACATAGTCCTACTACAAAGGATTTCAACAAAAATTCCTGCCTCAAAAAAGAAAAATACTAATTTATAAACCTAAATCAACATGGTTCTTTATTCAAATTTAGTTGTAAATTGTGCTCTTTACCTTTGGGTCAATGCAAGTATAAATTCATCATTTTACAAATCGTCAAAATGAAGTGTTCTCCCTCTCATTAACAATACAGCATATACATTTTAGACTTAAAATTTCCTAGAGGTAACAAAAGGATTTAACCATTCTAGTTTAGTCTACCGCACTTTATTTGGCAATAATAATTTCTGCTGATATTAACATTAATAACCTTGGGCATTAGAGAAAATCTTATATAACAGTACATTGTCAATCACTGAGTTCTTGACCATGTACATACATCTGTCTATGACAAAGCAAAATATTTTCTATTTTAATTCCTCATTTTCCCTGTTTGGAATCAGCCTGGGGTACTCTTAGAAAGCTTTTTGACTACTCAGATTTTCTGTGTATAGAAGGTAACTAGAATTCCCCTTTTCAAGTATCTTTAACACAGCATGACTGGTTTCTGCTTTAGCAGAGTCACATCAGTCATATTATTGTCTTCTGTCTCCTTGTTCATCTCCATGCTGACTCACTGATGAGAGGGCATAAAAGGCTGTGCCTCCTACCCCCCTCAATGGACTGTGAGGTTGCGACAGTATTCACTGAAGAAAGGATGCTGTGCAAAAGTACCTCTGCTGAGTGTTGACCAGCATACTATCTTGTACCACAAAGGTCCTTTATTATGGATGCATCTGTATTTAGCTTCTCTATCTTTAAGAGAATTTCCAACTAAGAAACACAGTTAATTCCAAAGCAGCTGTTTAGCACTCTGGGATATAAAATGGGACAAAACTTTCCCATCAATACTATCTGGTTTTTTACTGGCAAAAACTTCTACACAGAAGAATCACTTACTGTCTATGATAAATAGCTAAAGAAAACAGTATAAAACTGAAATCTGCCAAGGTTATGAACAATCTCTGTATATAGCTACTGGCTGTTTTTCTTTAAGATTAGAATATAATATGGTGATAAGATTTTAAGTGAGAAGTGGATTTCTGTTTTTATTTTTCTCAAATACTGTAAATAAAATATCATTTCAAATATTTTAAAAGTAATTTTAGAATAATTATTCAAAATCACAGCAAAACAAACAAATCAAGAATTTGTATACATCTGAAAACAGAGTGACCCAAAAAGGTACCTTACCCATATTATCATACACTGTGGTTAATATCAACTATATAAGATTTAACAGTTATTTGCAGGAATTAAGTAAAGAAATCCACATAACTTACCCTAACCCTGCTAGAATACACTCTTCTAAAATACCAATTTTGCATAGCAAATTAGACAGAAGCAACACTAGCATTCTGAACCTGCATTATCACATACTGTGCATCAATTATTTAATAAAAAATAAACAAAATCTTCTGAAAAGAAACACACTCTCTCCAGATCTATTCCTCTGTGAGATTCAAGCCCCCAACTACACACTCAGCAACTCCTATATAGTGCAAGAAGGAACTGGTGGCTCAAGCTGTGTAAGCTTCACTGAAGCACTCCTCCACCCTGCAGCCCAATGGCACAGACCCCATAGATCATATTACAGCTCCTTTCCAGGAGGTTAGTTTCCAAAGCTGTCACTGTATTATTTCAACAACAACAAAAACTAAGACCATCTTTTAGTACCAGCTATTGTTTGAAAAGAATAGTATTTAGACTTGAATTCTTCTACCAACTAAAAATTAATGCCCATGATACTTTGTCCAGATTTGCCACTTTCAGAAATTAGAAGCAATTAGCAAGTATATTCATCAATACAAAAAAGGGATCGGCTATTAACCTCTAAGGAGACTCAAATATTATCATTCTACTTGGTACCTGATGGCACCTGATGGTGCCAGTGAAACTAAATCAAATATCCCACCTCATTTCAAAAGATAAAATGCTTAGTGAGCAAACCTTTTAGTTCCTTTTTCACACACAGTAATGGTTGTGACACTTGCCATTTAATGAGCATTAGAGCCCACTTTAGGTTACAGTCCTCAGCATAACTCTCTGTCGTCATCTTTCCCTGTCTCTTGATGGAGATTATATTTGCTATGGCTGACCTTAAAAATTTCTCACCTTGTCACATTTGGTTCCAGCTACTAAGCAGGACACTTCACCTCCAACATGTTTGGCTGCAGTGATGGTATTTAAAGTAATGGGTGCTAGAGAATCATTTGCATGCTCAGCTATTACCAGGGTACTCTGAAATCGTAGCAATGAGGCCTAAAAAGAGAAAAAAAAAAGGAAAAGAATGTTATCATCATAGGTTCTTTTACTCTAACTGTTAAGCATGTGTGCTTTAAAGATAACAATTATTCTGTAGAGAACAGTACTCAGTTCTATAAATGTATTTATAAAATACAGCAAAAATCAGGCTATTTGTATCTATCGCTGTATTACTAATATCCTTATCTAATAAAAACTGAAAACGCAGATTAGTTTTCTATTGTTAGGAAAAAATTTTAATTGTTCAAAACAACTTGCTGACTAATCCATGCCTGATGAGAAACTGCTAATCCTTAGACAGAACATATTAACTATCAAACTAGGAATTGGTCATTTCTTGTCTTTTTCCTCCCTTTTTGTTTACTCGAAGAGAACGAGGAAAGGGGAAAAATGAGACTTTCATTGCTGCCAAGTCGAGTACCTGTTTGTATAACTTTTTCTTTTTTACAAATAAAAAATTTCCAGTAAGAAGGGAGGAAAAGTTAAGGTTAGAAATCTCTATGCACATCTTTTTTTTTTTTTCTTTTTGTCTTTTTTACTGACCGGTAACGGGATCGCAACCCTTGGTGTCACGCCCGTACCGGGGACCAGCAACAGGATCGCAACCCTCGGTGTTGGGCCCGCACCGCGGGTAGAAGTGCTAGATCGAGAGGTAGGTACACTTTTAAGGCTTGTGATAATGACTAACACAAACTGTTCTTCAAAAAGTTGTGGCAGTTCACAATTCCTGGGATGGAATGAAAGTTCTTGGAATGTAAATACCATTCCTGTTCATTTTTGCATCCCAGAAACTAATACAATGTTTCTTTTCCAATACATATCTCTAGAATTAATTATACTGTACTTTTTCTTCTTTAATCAGAAGAGTACAATATCTTATAAAGGACTTTGTAATTAAGACCCAATGGCAAAATTTATGATTTAAATCACATTTCACAAGAATTGCCAGTGACAAACTATTTATTACCAATATATATCAGACACCATATTTTTTATTATGTTTCATGCATCATTTACCATAAAATTATGAGCTTTCCATCACCATTTAAAGAATAAATCCAAGATTGGTGGCAGAAGGCCCATATTTACTGTAAATTATAGTTCTATCATAAGATAAATTGGATAGTTCTCCTAAAGAACTGTCAAGCTTTTAGAACTTTCAACAAGAGACTGTGTATTCCTTTTAAAAGAGTATTCAAATTTAGATTTACAAGAGTAAACAGCAACAAAAGAATATATTAAAGAACCCACTCAGTCCATCCATCTGATAGATTTTTACTAAACACCATATACTTCATAAAGGCACTCTACAAGGGTACTTCAAAAAGTTTGTGGGAAAGTACAATTAAAAGATAATATGAATCTTTCCATGAACTTTTTGAAGACCCCTCATATATTATTTTATCAGTTGACACCTTTATAATTTTTAAAATATTAAGCTTCCTTCTAACTCAAGGTCAACACTTCATTTCTCAGATACCACCAAGACAAAAGCGACAGCATCTAGGTATGGTTATGTGGCTTAATTCTGCAAGGATGATTGTGCAGAGCCTAGAGCAGAACAAATTGGTCTGTGACCCTTAAAATATTATTCGTTAGTTTAGAGCCCAGTTTCCTCATCTGCAAATTGAGGGAAATGAGCTACATCAGAGGTTTACAAACTACACTCCATAGAAGTGTTCCAGGAAGGCACCTCAGGAGCCACCACATAGTAAGGTTGAGACCAGGCAGTAAGGCTGTGCTGTAGACTGAATGCCTCCCCAATCTCATTGAAGCTTAAATCCCCATTGTAACTGTTGAGGGTGGGAAATCCTGTTAATTCAAAGTGGGGCTTTGAAGAGGTGATAAGATTGTAGGACCATGCCATAGTGAATGGATTAAAAATGGTGGTAGGGGGCATGGCTGAGGGCACATGAGAGGTTAGGCTCTCTCTGTTCTGCATTTTCTGCCATGTGAGACCCCTGGGTCACTGATGCCACCACCAAGACCCTCAACAGATGTGTTTTCTGGACTTTGGACTTCCTAGCCTCTGAAACTGTAAGCAATAAGTTTTGTTTTCTTTACAAATTACCCAGTTCCAGGTATTTTGTTATAAGCAACAGAAACAGACTAACACAGAAAATTAGTACCAGAGAAGGGGGTGTTGCTTATAATAAATACCTAAAAATGTGGTAACAGTTTTGGAACTGGGTGTTGAGGAGAGGCTGGAAGAATATGAAGGAACAGACTAGGAAAAGTCTAGATGCTGGTAAAGTTTAGAAGACAAGAAAACTAGGGAAAGTTTGGAATGTTTTAGAGACTGGTTAAATAGTGGTGATCAGAATGCTGATAGAAATATGGACTGTAAAGACCATTCCAAGGAGGTCTCAGATGTGAATAAGAAGGAACTTACTGGAAACTGGGGTAAAGATCACCCTTGATGTGGACTGGCAAGGAACTTAGCTAAATTGTGTCCATGACCTAAGACTTTATGGAAGATGGAACTTCAGAGTTGTGAACCAGAGTATTTGGTGGAAGAAATTTCCAAGCAGCAAAGCATTCAGGAAGCTGCATGGTTACTTGAAACAGCCTACACTAAGTTATGGCAGCAAAGACATGATGTAAAGCCGGAACTTAAAAGGGAAACAGAGCCTAAAAATTTGGAAAATTTGCAGCCTGGCCACATGGTAGAGAAGCAGAGAGCATTTTCAGGAGAAAAATTCAATGGTACTAAGATTAGTACAAGAAAGAGGGATTATAAAGAGAAGGAGAAAAAGGCCCCGAGGCACTGCAGAAGCTTCTGGGGCCAACACTTCCATTTCAGGCCCAAAGGCCTAGAATGGTCTTGGGGAACAGGCCTGAGGTGCCCTTCACAGGCTAGCTGCCCAGGGCCACCTTGGGATGCTGCTTCTCACACCAGCACCCTGGCTACTTGGCTGCTCCAGCTATGGCTAAATTGGCCCCAGGCGTGGCTGGACCTGCAGCTTTGGAAAATCCAAGCCAGAAGCCTTGGTAGCATCCACATGGTGATAGGTCTGCAGGCTCACAGAATGCCAGAACTGTGAAGGCTTGGGAGCTTCCACCCCAATTTCAAAGGATGTAGGGAAAAGTGTGGGGGCCCAGGAAGAGATGTGTCACAGGGGCAGAGTCACCACATTGAGCCTGCCTTCACTAGAGCAATGCGAAGTGGAAACGGGGGTTTGGAGTTGCAGCAGAAAACCCCCAGCACCATGCAGCAGAAAACCCCCAGCTCCAGCTGTGAGAGCAGGACCACTACAGAGACCCCAGACCTGTGGAGCTACCAGACTACAGAGTGAAAGTGGAAACGGGGGTTTGAAGTTGCAGCAGAAAACCCCCAGCACCATGCATAGTGGAGCTGTGAGAGCAGGACCACTACAGAGACCCCAGACCTGTGGAGCTACCAGACTACAGAGTGGAATACCAGCTTGGGAGAGCTGAAGTGTTGCTTGAGACCAGGAAAGCCGTAGGAGCAGAGCCACCCAAGGACTTAGGGACCCAAGCCCTATACCAGTGTGCAGAGGTCGCTGAACATGGAGTCAAGGTACATGATTTGTCAGATGTAAGATTTAATGCCTGCCCTGCTGGGTTTTGGACTTGTTTAGGACCTGTTACCCCTTTCTTTTGGCCTATTTCTCCCCTTTGGAACAGGAATATGTACCCTATGTTTGTCTCACCTTCATATCTCGGAAGTAGATAACTTGTTTTGAATTCACAGATGGGACTATGAACTTTTGAGTTGAAACAAATTAAGACTTTTGGGATGGAATGAATGTATTTGTATGTGAAAAGGACATGAGTTTTGGGGGGTCGGGGGTGGAATGCTGTAGACTGGATGCCCCTCCAACCTCACTGAAACTTAAATCTTCACTGTAACTGTTGAAAGTGGGAAATCCTATTACAGTAATTGAAAAGTGGGGCCTTGAAGAGGTGATAAGATCATAGGACCATGCCATAATGAACAGATTAAAAATGATGGTCAGGGGCGTGGTTCTGAGGGCTTTAAAAGAAGAGCACATGAGAGGTTAGGCTCTCTCTGCTCCACCATTTTCTGTGATGTGAGATGCCTGGGTCACTGTTGCCACAACCATGGCCTTCACCAAATGTGTTCCCTGGACTTTGGAATTCCCAGCTTCTGAAACTGTAAGCAATAAATTTTGTTTTCTTTATAAATTACCTAGTTCCAGGTATTTTGTTATAAGCAACAGAAACGGAATAATACAAGCTGCTAGAATGTCCCCCACCCCAGTGTAACCAAATTAACCAAACTAACATTTATAAAGCAGTGTACTAAGCAGTTTAATATATAGTATCTTATTTAAAATTCATAAAAACTCTATGATATTATTACTGACTTTATAGATGAGGAAACTGGAACTTAGCAGCTACATAGCTAGAAAGCAGAGCCAGGTTATTGTAATTCCAGACAGTGTGACTCCAGAGTTTGGGTTCTTAGTTACCAGCTCACATCAAAGTACCACCATTTTTAGCTGTTTTATGTATTGGTCATTCCTATAAGATTTCATTTGGCAAATATCCTCATGCTTTTTTAAAAAAAAACAGGTCTGGTCAAAAGAAAGGAAAAATATGATCTCAAAGGCCTCCTTTCCAGCTCTAAAAATTGTGTAACTCTAAGATTCTATTTTAAGTAGAAGAGTGGTATAAAATATGACTAAAGAATCAAAAAATCCAGGTCTATTACTGAAAAGGTTTTAAAGCAAAATATTTTCATTTTATTATCTTATGACCCATTGCCTCTCTACACTTTAGGACGCTCTTGTAACAATCATTATTGGAGGAAAAGGAGCCAAATTCTTAAGGCATTTAAAGGTGACTACTGAAATACTTAATAAGGTAACTGCCCAGAAAGAAATCTCAATCTCTTCAAAACGCTGCTACTTAAATTAAAATTAATTAATGAAGGCCAATGCCACCCATAAATTCTTGGTCACCGGCCTTAACTGGCCCCTCAAAACTGCCTAGCAATGCTACTACGATTT